ACCGCACCACACAGCTTGGTGTCATTGGCCTGGTGTCATCATTACAGTAATCAAAAGTGTAACTGTGCATTTGATTGACACTGAAATTTAATATTCCTCTAAACAGATTCATTTAGTACAGGAATCATTCACATGAACAAAGGATTCCTGCAGTACAAGTTCATAAATTGGATTACACTGAGTATATGGAAAGAACAGTGAAAATATATATATATATATTTATTTTTTTTTTGCAGGACATAGCAAAAAAGGGCAAACAATTTGCCTTTAGACAAAGTGTTTTCATACATTTGGGAAACCTCAGAAGAAAGTAACGATAACTTTAAAGAAGTGTATTTATTCTATACGTTGCCCAAAGATTAAGATGCGTGCGTGTGCTGTAGTAAAACTCAGGTGAAGAAAACATTACGTTACAAGTTCAGAAATGCCCAAAGTGACATAAATTTAACATTTAGAAGTAAATGTGCATGGGACAGTGAAGCAGACCAAAGACAACAGATACTTAACAGGTAAAAACATGAAAAAGACAAGAGAAGCCTGACCAAAGCAGAAGCAAATAGTTCAAATATGTGAACAATCCTAATATGAGAAATAGGCTCTGATGCATAAACAGCAGCAGAAAAAGCTAGCTAGAGTTTCAAGTACTAACAGGTAAATGAGATAAAAAGCAGAATGCTGAAAGCAACAGATGATGGGGATGTTCTGCATTTAGAGAGAATTGTGGGAGCTTTGAAGTTTTTTCAAGTGAAAGAATGTCACAGTCTCACCTTTTCAAGCTTACTTCAGCCAAAACAGTCTCAGATTAAACTTGAATAAAAGAGACCAGAGCTATGGCATGTATAGGTAAGCTAGGAGCACATATAAGGAAAGTCACTGGAGAAGCAAACTACTATAATTTGAGTCTATCTCCAAAAAAAAATCTAAACAGACTACCCCTCAAGAACATTATAAACCTTAGTATGAATTTCTCTCAACCAACACACACTTTCTTTTTGGTATAAACTACCGCTGTTGTCTGATGCACTGGCAGCATTTTTCTGCATGCAAGCTGGCAAGTCTTAATCTGAAACCTTGTATAGTTGCTATTTCAATGCCTATGTGTATTGTAAGAATTAAGGACATAATGAATTGGCACTATATGTTGGCATTTTACTTCAAGCCCAGCACTCTACACTTTTGGACAGTATTGCAGTGGGGGGTTTTGGGTTGTTTTTGTTTTTGGGGTTTTTTTGGTTGGTTGTTTTTTTTTTACACTACTTTCACAGGTACCACTCAAAAGCCAAATTTCAATCAAATTCTCATCAGTTCCAAGCAGACCAACTTGTCACTTTCTGAAGAATATTTTACTTAGCAATGCATTTTTTTTAAATATGGAACAGCAAATTTTCAATGTTTATTCCATTTCAAACTACTAAAACATCACATATTAATAGTTACCTTCTCTTTTCATCGTAAGACTTGTATCCATTTTGGTTTTGAGAGTTATGCTTGAATTGGTAGCTGTTTCTAAGCTGTTCTCATCCAACAGCTGCAATTGGAAATAATTTTTTTCTTGTAAGGACTAAAGAAATCGAAAACATCTTAAAAAGAAACAAGAGATCCAAAACATAGTGTCCAAAATATGTTTCCTTATGATAATTAATGACTGACACATACGAGTATTACTGATCCTAATCCTATTTTTAAATCGATCAAGACACTGAATTTCTATCATACAGTTTCTACAACAAAGACCTAAAGGCTATTATTGAATTTTCTTTTGGGGGACAGGGCCACAGGACATGAAAATGCAAGGCATAGCTCTAAATTCATCTCCATCAAAAGCCATAATTTACAGCTCCACAGAGCACTTAATGAACTCAATTAAACGGACTTCATTGAATAGAGTACTTCCCATGTTAAAACTCATGACTACAGCTGAAAGGGCTCCTGTAGTCAAGATGAAACCTGATTACCCCCTCTTTATAAATCATGTGACAGACTTCTAACACCCCCCTCGCCCCATTTCTCCCATCAGATGTATTGTTCAGAGGAAGCTCTTTGTTAATGCCTGACTATGCATAACAATTTTCAAATTTAAAAGCCACAATGAATGTTCCCATTCACAACTCATTACTTAATGTACGGGGCATTTTTATCTTATTTCTTAATGTTATTAGTTTGCTTTCTAATACCACAGGACAGCCAGGCAGAGTTCCTTATATCTATTTTAAAAATATTTAAGTTACCTGTAAGTCTCCCAGGTCATATGAATCACCCCCACCAGATTTTGGTTCTGATGGTGGAAAAGGTGCAATGAAGGCTGTACATTTGGAGCTGGATATTTGCCTATTGAAAAAACATTGTTAATTACATCACATGCCAACATATAATGTAACAATTGCCTTTTGTGAACCAGATGAAAAAAAGGGCAGTTGTGTGAAGACTTTTGACTACAGGTTTCAAATACAGGGAAAAGCAGGTCTACTCTGATAGCCAAGTGAGAAACAATACAAAACAAATATGTAACAATGCCACCAACTGCTGAACAGTTACACAATACAATGAGCATAACCACTTTCTTAATATAATCATTATCATATGGATTATGTTAAAAATTAGGATTTAAAAATATTTTGGAAGTTACATGACTAATTATATCTAATTTTAGGAACTGGAATACAAAAAATGTAGTTATTTTGAACAAATTTATTTTTGCCTTAATCTCCATTCCTTTTGAGCCTACTCATTAGCTAGAACAAGAAATTCATCTTTGCATGCTCTCATACAAAAAATCTGAGTAGTAAGACAGGAAGCAGGGTATTGCAATACCTATTGCAATTATAATGACTATTTGTCAATAATCTTTAGATCAATTTTAACATGAACATTTGACATTTCCACTATCCAATAAAAACACCATTGAAAGAATATTAAGATCTGTTGTGGTGTAGCAAACCCAGCCACCATACCTCTTCAAAACACTAGCTGTAAGGGGGATATCAGTCATCTTCACATCATCACCAGCATCAGCTACTAGTTTAACAGGAACCCTCCCAAAGGGGCAGGCCTAAGAGCAAACTGAAGGTTAGCAGATGTGTAAAGCAGAATGAAAAGTTTAATATTTTGAAGCAAAATGTCACATGTTCTACCTGGTTAGATTTGTTTAGTGGTCTTAATGGATTCTGGTAATTAACTAGAGCATCAAGTTCCTGTGACTTCTCCTCTCTAAAGGCAAGAAGAAAAAAAAACACAACACTGTAGGGCCTGTTTGGTTTTGATGATGTTTTAAGGCATTAAATAAGAAATCAAGCCATTACCCAAGAAAAAGTCTGGTAACAGAAGAAGAATTTTCACCAGAGTCATTCCTTTTTATGCCTCTGTGATTTCCAGCTATGCTCTGAAGTCCAGACTCTTGTGTACTCGATACTGTAGGTAAATTAGTCAGAATTATTCAGATAATACTGCAGACTGTATTTGTTTCAAGAGGAAAAAAGTGTTCTTTCATAAGAAGTTAAATTTACAAATACATACTTTGCAGTAATCTAGTATCAACAACATATATCACTATTTTCTACTGATGCAGACAGATATTTTTAATAATTACATAAGATTTGATAATTGAGATGAAAAAAGAAAAAAAACACAGACTTAAAACCAGGAGGAGCTTTCCAGGATGAGCAAAATGGCCTGCAACAATTGTTAAATATATTAGCTACTTGTTTCCTACCCAGCTATAGTTGTAAACTACGTTTAAATACATAAAAGGGAGATTCAAGATGTCCAAAGACTCTCCAAGCAATTTAACCTCTAGCTGAAAAACCTCACTGTTCATCTTATCCTATATGCAGGAGGAATACAAGCACCAAAACCATTGGTTTGAGTAGTATCTTGGGGCAGTGAGGAATAAACCCATGCTTCCAGAGGAAGATTATTTTCCAAATCTACATTCCAAGAATAACCCTCCACTCCAAAACAGCATCATCTGAAGGATGCTTCCAAAGCTTGCTCCACAAGGACTCCTCAGGAGATTTAAAACCACTCACATTTGGAATCTTTCGTTGTTCATTCCTATTATGTGACACCCACACCTAAATAACTATAATAAATCCTAAATTATGCATCAAAACCCACCTTGTTCCACAGGTAGTATTTCAAAGGTACAACAGTCTAGACAATCCTTACAACCTCCCTGCTACTGCAGAGAGTTATTTTCCTGACAATCCCTTTCTCAAATGGAAATTAACATCTGGTTATTCAGATAGGAAGATCTCTTCCACAATATAAGATATATTTTTTAAAAGACAGACACCAAGGAACATGTTTTTAAAAAAAAAAAAAATCAAAGACAACGAAGATACTATAGAACATGATCTTTTACATCACATAGGCCTTGTTTTCCATTAGTACAGGAAATTACTTCCTTGGTCAATAAACAGAAGAATTCACAGCTATCCACAGCCTCTCAAGAAATCACAACGTAAGGACTTTATATACCATTTCTCTTAACATTTTTTAATTCTGGATCAGTTCATTAAAACTAATTTGATTTTTATTTTGAATCCTCCCACGTCCCCCTTCTATCTCCAGCCAGCAGAAGCCTGACTTCTGCCAGATGAACACTGCAGCATTAGCTATTTCTCGTCCTTATTTTTTTATAAACTACTAATGCTAATACACCAAACTACTCAGTTAAATAAAAAAGTGCCTCAATACAGTACCATCCCCACCTCACACACATCCCACAGTTTGTTTTCTTTTTGCCATATGCACAAAGATTTTTTGCCCAAGCTTACCACTGGACTCTCACATTCAGTTAGTGATCTGCAATGTTTTTATTCCCTCACGGGCTGAGGCTGCCTATCTGCCTCATACTACTCATGACTACAGTTGGACTCTCATCTTAAGAGTCTTTTCCAACCTACATGATTCTAAAATGATTTTATGACCTATGTTTTTTTTAAGTACCAAATCATTTTTTTCCAACTAAACCTCTTTGATTACACCTGGTATATTAAATACTTTAGATTGCTGTGCAGGAATGAAAGACAGGAAAAAGGAATGAAACCCAAGGCTTCTAGACTTCCTGGGGCACAGTACATCAGCTGTGGCACTTACCATGTCTACATCTGACTAGTGGTAAACAGAACAGGACCAAAAATAAAGTTTACTAAAAAATTAATACCATAACTGAATATTATTGCAAGTGTTACCAGACATCGCCACCCCCAGCCCATCCAACTAGTGTTTCATGCAAAGGTTGATTCAAAAAAAACAAATCTCCAACCACATTCCTGAAGTCATGTCCCTAAGGAAATGAAACCAGACCTCTTCTGCAGTAATTCTGCCCTTATACAAAGTAAAAATATGGAAGTGTTAGACACCACTCTTAGAAGAGTTAGCTCTATGCACTTCAATATTCAAGTCAAACCATGGTTTTTATCTCAATTCCACTCCAAACAAATTTATCTCTTGGCAACTCCAGGAGGTAACTGTTCCCTTATTGAAGTTATATATCCAGCAACCAGTATCAGAATTGTTTTATGGTATAGCCAAGCCCTTCAATTTTGTACTAATAAATACATGGGTTTTGTCCATTTTTAAAATAAAGTTGAAATGGATTATTTTTCCTAGATTTGACTTCACTGAAATTACTGTCAGAACTTCACCAGCCTGTCACAAGATACACCTCAAATTAAGCTATCTGCATAGATTAATCTCTATGTTTCAGTTCTAATTCTTCCCTACTACCAGTAGCTCTTATTTCACACTTTCAGCTGTGAGTCTCTACTATAAAGTACAAATACCTAATGACAGTCAGAGGAACACTTTCTGCAGAACTAGAGGATCTACCATCCCTATGGCTCCTGCAAACTACAGTCACTGTATCAAAGCTGGAACCAAATACAGAAGGAATTAGATTGATAATACAGACTATCAGACTAATGTGACTATTAGACAATAGCAGATTAGAAGTTTGTATCTAGAAGGGACAAACATTAGACAGATTTTTTTTTTTTAATCGAGAATTACAACAGGCATAAATTCATCCAACGTTTTACGAAATTGCAATTACCTAGTAAGTTCTCTTTCTCCTCATCTGAAAGCAACTGCTTTTTTTGGGAATTAAAGTTTCGTAGAGCAGTTTCCAGCATTTCTAGTGGAACAGCAGAGCACTCCACAGCTTTCTGAAGGAGCTGCTTACACTTCTTCACATTTCCTAAGTAGTAAGGAACACAGAAATCAAGAAAATAGAAGACAGTTACACTAGGGCAACATAGTCTTTTTTTAAAGACTTCATTACATTCATGCTATCTTCTATTCAGAACCTGAGTGGCAGAGGGAGAAATTTAATTGGACCAAATTGCATATTTACAACACATTTTGGTTTAATTAAAAGTTAAAAAAAAACACACACACAAAGAATCTCCAGTTGTTTTTTCGAAGGAGCCAGAATTTCTCCCACAAGCAAGCTGAAGGTACCTAAAGGGAAATTACCACCCAAATTTGATCATAATTTTTCAATACAAGAGCCTTACTCATACCTCCCACTGTAAGACCTAATCTTAAAAAAAAAAAGAAAAATAGAAATCACTACCAATCTTCATATTGTTTGAAAGTTACTTCTAAAACAGTAAAAAACTTAAGAACTGTGCACATACTCTCATTAAAAATGAACGCACATGTTCTTGTTTTCTTTTTCTATTTAGTACCTATCAGTTTCTTTGCAAATGATGTAACAAAGTAGAAGTTTAGAACAACAAAACCTAGAATAACACAGAACAGCAACACCAAACAAGATTTTCTACACACCTTGTGATAGTTCAAACTGCGCAAAAGCCACATGCACAAAAGCAAATTTCTTGCAGTTCAGTCTGGCTAGATGAAATTGGTCCCGTGCCTCCTCTGGATCTTGAAGACTGTAAAGAAAGCACGTCAATAGTTACACAAAGTGAAGAGCCTAAGTAATAAGGATGAAGTTCCACATGCTTGGTGATGGCTTTAGATAATTCTGGAAAAAGTAATCCATCTACAGTTGAAGTTTTTCCTCTTTCTTAGAGCCATTAGCAAAGCACAAATAAGCAAAGAGTCTTAAAAAGCTCATAACTGAAAGATATCACGCTGACTCTTTCCAAAATCCAGAATGTGCTCAAACATGAAAAGAAAGATTAAGGACTCATTCTTTGTCACTGCTTGTATTTTTCCTTAAAATATGCAGATATTTTCCCTCAGAACACCCCCTAACCTGTACAGAACACCCACCTGTAGCCCTTCCAGGCTACACACTGACTCTATCCAGAAAACACTCTCCATTCTTCTAGATGCATCCACTCCTATAACAAAGGAGGTTGCAAGGCAGAAGGACAGGGAGGAGATTGCTTTAGAAATACCATGTGTGGAAAAATGTATCATACTAATCAAGTCTGAAGAAATATTATATACCCTTATTTATATTCTGCAGCAATATGGCCACAGTTTCCAACCCATTACACTAAAGCAATACTGAACTCCAAAATTTTCCAGGAGGTGGACCTTTTTCTGCATTGGAGAGCTTCCGCAACTGCACCCAAATTGTCAGATTCCCTTAGCAGAGATGGAGGTCACTGAAAGAAGTTGCTTCTCTTGGTACCTGTGTAATACTGTACCTATAGAAATCTAGGACACAAGGAGAGCATTTATCCAATAGGTACCTCTAGCAAGGGCTCTATTGGAATATCAACTCCTTACAAGATGCAGGGAATTCATTCTGTTTTCCTCAGACTCCTAGGCAAGAGTCTTATCAGTCAAACTTGGTAGCACAAGGTGGATTGAAGTCTGTTTTCTACAGACACACTGGAAGCAGCAATGGCAAATATGGTATACTTCAAAAACATAGAGACGGTGCCCCAAAGTCCAGACAAGATACTTCACTTTTAATGGTTTATTTTTACTAAATTTTAATGCTAGTTTTACAATCAGCCGTAGCTCAGCAGGACAATTGAGATGCCTCCACACAGTACACCAACATTTAAATATTCCAGAGGATCTACAGCTTAAGTAAATACTTGTCAAGATAGAAAAGGCCCAGATCTATATCACTATGAAATAAATTAAACATTACGTTTCAATGGATTCCCTCCCACTTTTTTTATCTATATACATACATACTAAAAAGAGAGTTCTTTAACCAATTATTAGCAAAATCCACAATCAAGGAAAAGGAATTGCTTCTAAAATTCCATCCTGCTTCAACAGGTAAGCAAAGGTGGTACTTAGAAGTGGGGATGGTGAAAAATTCATGACAATGGCTTAAAAAATAAGTATAAGAAAAATACAACATGGAAAGCTAAAGAGAACTTATATCTAGTAGAATTCTGTGGAATTAAGAATGAGAAAAGTCTCTATCACAGTTTAGGCACATTACTGGACTCCAGTAAGTTCAATAAACTCAGCTGTGATCATCCAGAGCAATCGGACAGACACAGAATAACCCACCTGCAGGCAAAGTCAGAGTAACACAAATTCAGCTGTAACACACAAATTACACTCACTTTCAAAAAGCATGTCAAAATTTAAGTTCCTATAGAAAGCAGCAACAACTTGGACAGCAATATGCAGAACAAGACCTAACGTCAGCCATAGGCATTGACTGCCACACACTTGGTGGCACTGTGCTACAGTCAGAAGCACCACACGAAAGCAGGCCCGGCACGGTTAACATGCAATACCAATAATCAATCACAGACACAGCTGGCTGTTAACCTCTGCCTATTTCAGAGGACATTTAAGGGTTCTTCAAACAACCTCAGTATCATAATAGGTCAAAAGGTTTTGGCATAGTCAGGTTTCAGCTAGAGAAGATACCAAGACAAAACAGGCTCAGTGCCAAGAATGAATAGTCCAGCTTTGATCAGAAGAAAATGGTGTTGATGCCAACAGACACTAAAATCCCAAGCGGTTGTCACTGCTTCTAAAGTTTGTCATGCTCTGACTTGCTTTTCCTGTTAGGTGGAACACTTGGGAGAACAGCAAACAGAATTCTACTGAAGAGCACCTTTCTCCTCCCACCGAAGGTAGTATCATCAGAGCGCCTAAGTATCAGAAGTGTTACTTTACTTGCAATAGCTAAAAAAATAAATCAGAAGCACTCTGATGAGTCATAAGATGAGAGGATTTTCTTTAACAGAAGCTAAAACTGAGCAGAGACAAAATAGATAGCACTACACAAACCAACAGACAGGAACAGAGGTGAGTCAAACACTAGGGTAATCTCAAACATCAAGAGAACTGTTGAGTACTGACTGAACATGCCAAACACAAAAGATCTAAATAACCACTCACTAACATTCATCTCCAAAAACTACAGACAAGCAACATTGTTGGTTTTTTTAGATACAATCAGTCAAAAGCAATTTGATGTTCTGGTGTGGTTACATGTAGTTTCGTATAGGCAATTGACTTTAGTATATGCCACAATGCATCAGAAAGCATTAGCTTATAATAAATTATTAAGAACTGGCTAATCTCCAAAAGTAATTTTCAGATGGGGGACCATTTAGGGAGATACTTACAGCAAAATTCCATTAGGATTGATGTTATATCAGATTTTGGTGGGTACATTTAAGAGGGATTTGGGAGTGGGTCGTTCATCTTTTTCTAAAAATTATTTTCATTAGCAAGTCAGGAAACCTACGGCAGATGGTATTTGCCAATTAAAAATACAAAGCAATAGATAAAAAGAGCAGATCTGAACTACCCTGTGAGCTGGGTAGATGCTGCAGTAATGCTAGTTACCAAAGCAGAAGGTATAGCCACAAAGAGTGCATTTTAACAGTGAAACAAGATAAGACTACTCTCCCAACAGGATCCCTCAAGTCTGCAGCACTGATGCAACTAGACATTTCAGTGGGACACCACAACTAAAACTGTTAATAATATTCATGCATTCTACCATTAACAAGCTACTGACATCGCATTCAGTTTTGCCTTCTGCAATACAATACGCAGAATACTGAACACAGATCTAGTATCCACTTAGGAGCTATCCACCTTTAAAACCATGTTTTAAAGAGCAAGTAGAAAGAGGACCAAGAGTTTTAAAGTTATTAGGGAGGTAGTAAATAATCTTTCTGAACTTCAGCTCCTACTGTATGTAATGAGATAACAGACTTGACTTGATAATAGCATCCAATCACCATTCTGGAAAAGAAATTCTGGCAAGTATGAGATGGAAGCCTATGTCGCACAATTTCTGTTCTGAGGAAAAGCGACTAACCTCTGAACAATACCATCTCTCAGTATCTTTAAAGACAAGAGGTCTTTCTGGAAGATATGCTTTACTCCACTTACACAAACACACCTTACCTCTTCAAGATACTAAGGATTCACAGCAGGTCATTATTCACTCCTGCTTGTTTCTCAACAGTAGATTCAACAGATTACTTCCATTGTATGCTTTTAGTAAGTTCCATGCAAATAACAGTACAAAGCAGCAGACCATATCATGCTGCAAGATCAAGCCACCTGCCAAAAAGCCAAATAGGAGGACATACGAGAAACAGAAAAAGACCAGCTATCTTCGCTGGAAGACCACCTGCTCAACTCTAATTGTTAAGGATTGCTGCAATGTTAAAACACAGCTCTTCAAATACGTCACAGTATTTCAAGTGACAAAAGAACTCTGTACAAAAAAAAATATCAAATTATAACCCTGTCCCAAATTATATCTGAAGAACCACACTGCTCAAATCTGGATTGAATAAAGCAATAAATAGCCACAATCAAAACTAATTTCATAAGTATGGAAGCACAGAATGATGTTCTGAGACATTCTTCCTACCCTAAGACAGCTATTGAATGTAGCTGGGATGCGTCCTTCCTAGCAAGGGAGAAAGCAGACAAGGATAGACCACTATGCTTTGACTAGATGGATCGGATAATAGCAAGTTGTCTGCCTCACAGACACATAAATTATAGACATCCACAAGGAAATAACATACAGTTGAATACGCACATTATAGTTACCCAAAGTTGTATCAGATTTCACCTAATGCAGCTTCTTTTGAGCTCAAGTATAAAGCTGAAGAAAAAAAGGGTCTCATGCTATTTACCCACACACCTTACACACAGAACCCCAAAAAAGTGTTAACATCTCTAAATCAAATAGCTCTGAACATGTTTGTTAGCATGTACAAAAAAATGTAAGTACTGTGGAGACAACAGATAAGCTGACTAGCCAAAGCTACTCACAGTTGCAAGGAGTCGATATGAAAACACCTCTACTCAAAATTATAATTTGTTGCAGAAACTACTAATGAGAACAAACTATTTGTATCCTCATTCAAATTCAGAATTGTGAACAGTGCGTTCTTCTATTGAAAATTGAAAATTTATACTTACGCTTTCAACTCAGCAAATCTCACAAGGATGCGAGCATAGCTCTCATCTTGACTATGCTTTTCTGCAGGTAACGCAGTCACTGCTTGACTGTAACGACCAATGAGCCTGTTCAGTAGGCTAACATCCATCTGAGGAATACCCTTTTTCTCTAGCCTGAGCAAAAAACACAGCCAATCCTCCGGATTATTTGTTGTCATCATTATTTGATTAACAGTTCCAGAGTTATCTGACAGAAAAACAGCAAAGGAAATTTATTAAAATCGCAGCAAATATGAACAGAACAAAAAACTTTTTATAAGCTTTCATGTAAAAAGACTAGTGTCGGGGATTTTTTGTGCGTGGGTTTGTTTTTTGATTTGGTTGGTTGGTTTTTTGGGTTTTTTTTTTTTTTGGTTTTTTAACACGATTAGAGCAACACAGTTAAGAAACAAGAAGAGATTAAATGGATTTTGTGGTCATTAACACTGAAGAAATGCTAAACCTCAAATCCTTTCAGTTAGCCTAGGCTAAGAGTGAAAGAGCCATTACGATCAGTTGCATAAGTGACAATAAAGTAACAAAAACACATACCTGTTGTATCAGATGAGATTTTAGTATAGTTGAGTTCATCTGTGATATTGTCTTCATTTCTGTATTTATTTTTCAAGTCTCTAACTCTATTCATGATTGAAGCAATTTGCGGCAATCCTCTTTCACTTAGGTCCTCCTCCTCCATCTGCAGACACAAGGTTAAAAACCAGGGAAGTTACTGAAGAACCCTGCTGTAGCTCACCTTCATTGGAATTAACATGGGAAACCTCTCATGTATATTTCACAGATTGAGTCTCAACCACATTATGTAACATACTCTACTATGCCTTTGTCAATGTAGTTACACAAGTAAACTTCTTAGCAGAAGCCAATGTAGATGAGCAAAAGGAATCGTGCTTATCTGATCTGCCCGAATACTAGTCCACGCTTCACAGAACCCTTTCCAATAAGGTATATCCAGTGTTGCAATAAAATGGGGAGTGGGATATGTTGCCTGAATAGCTATGAATCTACTGTATGAAATCACATCCTAAATCCATAGATTAGGATGGCTAAGAGGCAGTCCTCCTCCTAGCCATACACTCCTGCTACTCCTCTTGAATAAACAGCAATGGAACAAGCATTCATCAGACCTCATGATGACCTGGCTCAGGGACAAACACAAAACGGGGGAAGTGCTTTATTCTTTTGCTTGCTGTTTTTTCTGCTCACTCGACTGTGTCACCATACAGGCAAGAGAAAGGGAAGGCAGGAAGGAGAGATTACCATTTGATGACAGCTGTACGGTTGGGTTAGACTACCTCACATGTGTCACACATACACCTCCCTTAAACGTAAACATTTTTCATATGGAAAGAAAATTTGATACTATAAACTTAAAGTTTTAAAAATATTAACCTTTCCTATCACAGTAGAAATATAAGTTTCAAGACATTAGAGATACTTACAACCCAACTTTTAGCATTACTTCCTCTCTGTAATGGGCATGATATTTTGTATTTAACATCATACATGCATAGTTGGACAGCGAGATGTGCTTTGAAAAATATCAGTTTATTCTTGTTCTACCTCAATTTTAATATTATCCTTCTTTAAAGCAGCACTTAATTGAAATGGGGTGCGCTTATTTATACCACTGAGATTCTAAATAAAACATTCCGAAATAATTCCTCGTCCTAGTTCTCATTAGGTTTTGCTGTTGCAAAATTTTACCGCCTAGATGTCCATACAAAAGGATTCATTGTAAGAGATTAACTACTGAATGCAGGTGAACCAGTAAGGGATATATAACAAATTACTACACTACACTGCTTGGAATGAATAATATTCAACTTGGTATTAATTCCCGGCTGGAATGTCTGCTTTATTAAGGAACACCATCCAACACAAATTAAAAACTGACAGTGGAAGGGAGGGCTAGCCAGGAGACAGTAATCAGAAGGCGTAGAAAGTTCACACGTGAAATACCAAAGACACACCTCCAGAGTTTCACAGCCTGTGGGCAGGCTGGGATAACTCTAAAGCAAATCTGTGTACTTTGTCAGCTTCTAAGAATTATATCCACATAGCTGGGGTAATTTGAAGCTTACAAAAGTAAATATTTGTAAAAGTATTAAGACAAAATTATGTATGTTTAATCTTTCTATAATCTCTTGGTTCAGGAAGGGCAAACTCATGCATATTTTCAAAGAACAAGCCATCTAATTTTTTCAAAGGATGTGATGGCACAGCATCACTGATGTGGGTGGCAGCTTACTAACAAAAAAATATAGTTTTCTTTACTCAGAGGTATGCTATACAAAACTGTCTCTGTATGTCTACATTTGACTCAAACACCTTGCAAATTCATTCATTATAATTCAATCTGAAAACCAAATTACAAAGCTTCATTCCAACTAACATTGTGTTGGAGAAGCATGAACAAAATTGGCTAGAAGTGGGCAAAGTCATAGATAAATATCCAACTCCAACCATCTGCTCTCACGGTCAGCCATGAAGACAGGGAATTATTTGAAAATTACCACTTCCATACAAACTAAACCAAACCAGGAGTAATTCTGGGCAAGCCGTAGCAAAATTAAGGCTGTGATGAGATAGGGACGAACTATGCATCTCTGCCTGAAAAGAGTTCAGAGAAATAAATTATATCAGTAAGAAAACAAACATATATCTTCAAAGATACACTATGCATCTACAGCATTAGCACGGTTTGTGACAGAAAGAGGATCCAGGGATCTTCTCACCAACAAGGAGAGATGGTCACAACCTTGCAAGTTTAATAGACACGCAGAAGTGTGAAAAGATATTATGGGTGAAAAGGGACATCCAGCAGAAGTACAATTCTTTCTGAAGAACAAGCTAACTAGGTAAGAGCTTACAAGTTCCCAAGTGCAAACTAGGGCAGAGTGCACACCAGTTTGTTAAGAGTGCATTGAGAGAGAAGAAAGAAGGGAAAAACGTAAAAACAAAGTTAAGGTAAAAGTGAATATCACTCAATTTGGTATTTTGGAAAAAGTTAAAAGATTTTTTTTTTAATCTTTCAGAACAGTAGCTTAGCTATTAAATGCTATATGTAAGTGACTTCAATCATTTAAGCAGCTGGCAATTTAAATCTAGGTACCTGAAGTACCAAGAAAATGAAAAGAAATTTACCTCAGGGTTAGTAATACCATAATCTCTCATTACAGCTGTAATTGCTAACAATTCCCAAATGGATTTTTTTTTTAAAAACACAATATTTATATTATCCTGACTAATGTAAAAGGTTAAACATTCTGTTTACAGTGATAGCTTGCAAAATGTAATAGACAAAAAAAATAATAATTTTCTGCATAAATTTGATCTTAACTCTCATCAGTACATGTCAAACTTACATTTCTGGTGTGCTGCTTAACTGTTCAAGGTGTACTGTATGAAGAAAATATCTCCTGAAGAAAGGATATGCCTTGTCAAAAAGCTGACATACATGAGGGTCAGACTATCTCAGATGATCCCAAGAATCCAGCAAAGGCAGAAAATGTAGCTCTCCATCCTGAAGAAGCTCCTGTGTATCAAAAATGGAATGGTTAGACATCGAAAAGTACATGAACATCAGTATACGCTGTGAGCTTGCCTCATCTTCATGACATCCCAGAAATATAGTTTTCATTAAATCAATAAAACTATTCCTAGTTAGTAATAAAACAGGACAAAAAAAGCTCAAAGACTGCTTTTGGACTAAGGGCAAGCACCTCCAAATGTGTCAGCTTGTTATGATATTTACAGATTGAAAAAAAAATATATTAAAGGCATAATCACCTCTGTATTGTCATGATTTGCAATTAATCTTTCTACTCATGCCAAAGTTCAACTGTAAGCAAGTATTCAGAGTCTCATTTTGGTTTAATCTGCTGCATGATCACTTTTAAAGAAAGCATCTGCCATTTATTTCTCGTGTGAAGTGCTTTCAAAATCTGACAAGACAGCAAAGACTTAAAATAGTAACATGTTACATATGCACTCAGTAGGAACTGCGTTTTTAACTGTAATGGCTACATGCCAGCACACTGGAGGTATAGAAAAGCCATATAGGAGGGGAGGTTAGAGACAAGGAAGCAAAGAACAGGGAGAACGTTTGTGCAGAGATCAGGAAGACCCAGAACAACCTTTAAAAAAAGCACAATAAAGTAACTTCTCTCCCTCGTACAGACCCACTAGATGAGGAGCCAAGGGACAGGGACTGGAAGAGCAGTATATGCTGTAAGTGGATGAAGTGGCAGCACCGGTTATCCATAGGCCTTCTGGCATCATACACCCAACAATATTTACTGATACTAAAGAGAAATAACAGCATCTAGTCTTGAAATACTGGATTTGCTGTGTTACACTATTTGTTCAGTTTCTGAACAGAGCCAGATGCGGTTTGTCCTTAAACGTAAACTTTGAGAAAGTATGAAAATACTTTTTAATTATTGAACAAGAATTGACCTCTTCCTGCCCCTGCAATCTACTGAAATATTGCACCTGTTTATCTAAGGAGCTGTACAGGTTAGCAAAAAATTTAAGCAAATGCCCAAGAGCTTGCCTGGCTTTTTCCTCCAAATAAACTGGTCAGCCTAGTAAAATATATTTATGTTATCCTATTACCTATATTTTCCTTATACCCCCAGACCATTGTAGATACAACTGTTATGTTAAATATCTGCTTAGCTCTGATCCTATGGTCCAATTAAAGTGTCTACTAATGTCAAAAGACCATACGCTGAAGAGCTTTGAGTTAAGTCCTCTACTCTGTGTAGAAGAGGTAAAAATGCCACCTCTAAATCAGGAACTTTACCCATGCATCTCCTTCCAAGTGCAGTTTCATCAACATTGCCAAAGCACACTACAGTACTACCAGAGACCCTTCCTGAATGTTGGGATCTATTACACAGACATTTCAGTGTTTAAAAGTTGCTGCCTTCGAGATCTTGCCACTTTGGTTCAAGGCAAGTAAGAATGAAAGCATGATAACACACACAACCATCTGCAGGAAGACGTCACCAGCTGTCATTCACCCAGTTATCAATTATTGTTCTGTAAATATTACAGCAGAAGCTAGTCTTTGTTACTCCTTTGAGGGAACAGATAACAGCTTTCATAGAATCATTTCGGCTGAAAAGATCTTTAAGATCAAGTCCAGCTATAAATCTAACCCTGTGAAGTCCACCACTAAACCATGTCCCCTGTGTTTCTTTAAATCCCACGGGAAAGCAGAAGATCTGCTTGATAAATGATAGAAGCTTTTATGTGAAAATTTAAAGAGCAAATTACAATGGTAGGAAGAACATGAAAGAAATCCTGTGACTTCTGCTCACTTCAGACAGATGTTAAAAAAATGCTGTTACTAGAAAACATCAAGCTAAGTTCTTCCATATGCAGTCACCAAAACCTGAATTCAGATGAGTGGCAAAGCCCTGCAAATACTCTCCAACTTCAGTTCCCCTCATGTCTCATATGACATCCTAATTACAAGACTGGGTTAAAGGATTATTAATTAGCTATCCAACTAGACAGACTTGTCAACTTCTAACCTGTTCCCTAGTGCTGCCACTAGTAGAAGTCTCTCCTCTAGCCAGTCAATATTTCCCAAAATACATAGAAACATGGTGGTTTTGAAGCCTCTACCCAGGCTTTAAAAAAAAACTTTATGCACACATAATCTTT